GCTGAGGCCTTTCGGGACAAGGTACTTACAAAATCACCCGGGGCGCGCTAGGGTACAGAATTGGGCAACCGGGCTAGGGCATAAAACTCGAGCAGGGCGCAGAATTCGCCAAATCGGGCTAGGGTACAAAATTAGGCAAATCGAGATAGGCTACACAGTTTGGAGAGGGTACAGAATTAGCCAAATCGGGCGAGGGTACAAAATTAGGCGTGTCGGGTGAGGGTATAAAATTAGGCGAATCGGTGTAGGGCACAAAGTTGGCTACTCCGCGCCGCCCTTGAAAGAGGAGCTTTGGCCCCCGTGGTGCTGCTCTTCGCTAGACAAATATAAGCCCTGTCCGAGGGCGCAAGGTGAGGCCTTTCGGGGCAGGGTACGTACCTACAAAACTGCCCGGGGTGCGCTAGGGTACAGAATTGGGCAGCCGTGAGAGGATACAAAATTCGAGCAGGGTGCAGAATTTGCCAAATCGGGCTAGGGTACAAAATTAGGGAAATCGGGACAGGGTACAAAATTCGGGGATGGTACAAAATTGGCCAAATCGGGGTAGGGTACAAAAGGAGCCGATTCGGGTGAGGGTATGAAATTAGGCGAATCGGGGTAGGGTACCAAAGTGGCCAAACCGCGCAGCCTCCGACGGGAGGGCTTTGGCTCCCGCGGTTCTGCTCTTCCGACGCTAGACAAAAATAACCCCTGCGACCCCACCAAACCCCTGCTTTATATATATTTTTGCCGCAGTCATGATAGATGTCCTCCGCTCAGCCCTGCGATCACAACGTCAGTGCTGTTTTGAATCAGACAAAAAGTAAGAACAACCGTGTCAAGCATGCTTTTGATCTGTCATGGATGTTGTTGATCTTGCACATCTTCGACTACGTAAAGTTCGCACCGACATTGTTAATACAGGAAGCAGAACAGCATGCTGTGCGCCAAGATCGTGGAGGCCGAACAGAGGCGCCGAGTGAATTGTACCGAGGAGGAGTACATTCGCAGCGCCATGGCGAAGGAATTTTCTGGCTCAATCAAGCACGAGTTGGTGGAGGCTCATGAGTTGATGGAGCGAGGCGTGAACCAACGGGGGGCTAAACTGGCAATGGACCAAGAGAAGCGTGAGCGCTGTTTGGACTCTAACTTCGCGGCTCCTGAACTGCAAAAGCAGAAGGCTGCTGTGAATGCCGAAATCACCAGATCAGTACGCAAGAGCCAGAGCGTGAATTGAGGAAAAACATATTAAGCACCACCGTTTTATTCTATTGGAGTTGTCCAAAATATCAATATGCACTCCGGAACATTTTCAAGAAATTGCATTCCTATTTCATTCGCATAGCAGAGCAGCGCGGGCGGGAGACCAACAAGACGAAATAGAACTAAACTACTGGACACTTCCGGCACCCTCAGCTTTGAGGTTTCTAGTTCTTCGGTAGTCACCGCATTTGCATTAATAATAATATTTTAACCTGACACATTATGTAGAAGTAATCGCGTTTACTTACGTTCATAACTTGTTTAACTTTATTGTTCATCCGCATCGCATAGTTCTAAACCTGGTGGGGCTACTGTCTACACTAAATTCTTTCCTTTGGTTTCGTCCTAATATTAATTTTCTTTCTCTGATCAGATCCATCAAAAACGCACTCATAGGGGTGAATCGTCTATCCTTGAAATTGAGAAGCTGCAGCATCCTCGTTCCGAGTGTTGTCCTAGCAGTATCAAATGTGTCACCCGAGTCGTCCTGAATTCTTCTCGACACTCAAAAGTTTTGTCAAACGTGCCGAACCCACGGTACCATAAGGAACTAAAGTAAAATATTCACTCGACAGATGATGAAATTTGTAGTGCAAGACCAAAATCTTGTGGTAGTTTCTTGGGAATTAAACGTTTGTAGACGTAGTGCAGCTTTACATCAGAGAAATAAAAAGTGCTCTTGCAGTAGAGTATGATCCTCTTTGATTTTTGGCTGTTGGTGGATAAGAACGGGGCACACCACAAAAACTATACTGTTGCTTATGCTTGTGCACAAAGGGCAATGCCAAAATCAGGGCTGCGGGTCTCTGGTGTAGAGCTAGAGTTTAATCAGTGGCATCTTAGCGGCATTTCTGGTGCAAAGCCAAGCTGCCGAGGAGCGCTGATTTCTTACTTTTTTTCTCTTGTTAGCACCCACTGATTTTGATTTTCGCTACATTGATTTCTTATTCTTTCATTTTGCGCTTCGACGTAATCTTGTGTTTCATATTTGTAGCTTTATGTAAGATTTCCAATTCCGTTCTTCTTCTTTCTGGGAAGTTGAATAGACAATCAGCGCACGCAGAGCCAGACCCTAGGTGGATGTTCCGTATCCCTTTACATTTCATTGCTACTGAGTTCGCTCCTCCTCGTCGTCGTTGTCGTAGTTCATTAGAGTGTCATAGTTTTCTTGAGGCGGGTGTGGACGGTGAGTGTGAGTAGTGCAACATACATCAGGTTTTGAGGGAGCGAGTGGAATCCTTGCCTTGTATGGTTTGTTCCCAAGAGAGGCATCGTCCTTGCCGTCGTGATTGAGTCAGAGAACAAAGCATACGTCGTTGTGGAGGCATCGTGGTGAAAAGCAGTCGCTGTATCTCTTTCGACTACGTTTGTTCTTCGTTTCTGTGTGAATGTGTTGAAAGCAGACCTGTCGCCAAATCCGCGTCGACTTCGCGAGTTCATCTCCCGCATCGCGAAAGGAAGTACAAAAAAACTTATCGCAATGAAAGGAAGTGCACCGATGCTAAAAGTTGTCAATTTGATATCGAAGTACGCTGCCAAACGACCCAATTTTCTATTTTTCTGTCACCTCATTCTCATACTCATTCGACTGGCATGCTTCTAGTCAAGTTGTTTTACGAGTACTACTTGTCAGATGCTTCGTGGTTTGGACCACATCTTCAAGTAGAAGAGACGACAACCTCCACGACGGCAAACTAGAACTCGGAACCCTAATGCGTTAAAAAAAGGGCGTAGTGTCGTGGCTCCTGCTTTTATTAATGCGAGCATGACGCAACAGAAGCCTTGCAGTAGCGAGTTTTTCCATTGCACAAGGAAAAGTGAAAAATAGATACGTCGCGAGAGAAGTGGAGAGTAGTGTAGTACAGTGTGCACGCCCAACATCCGGACAGCACTAGTTCGGCCCTATTTCACGCCTGAGCACGAGCAGTAGCAGCGCAAGTAGAAGAGAAGGAGAACCAACCACCTACGGATACGGTCGCTCCCGCTCGCGAAAGAACAACAAAATTGACATCGTCGAGGTTATTCTGGAACAATAATTGGAAGCAACAGTAGAAGTAGACCCGGCTCCTGAATTATAATTCCTCCGCCACGCTGCAACACTGACACTGAGGGCTCCTCAGCACACACGACGAAACGGGCTCCAAAGCACATACACGTCTTCTTCTTCACCATCCCCATCCGACATCGAAACGACCCTCCAAGAAGTCTGTTTTCAACCCGGCATTGTCGCGCGCTCGTCATCGAGAACTACAGCGGGGCAGCAAGATAGTAGGAAGCGAAGGACCGTTGTTTTCATTTTCTCCGCGGCGCAGCTTTTGGATTCAACAGCTTGCGGCGGGAACGACCAACCAGATCCTGTGCTGTCGAAGAAACAAGAATGGGGCAAGTCTTCGGCAGCAAGAAAAAAGCAGCAAGAATCGCTGCACTCGATGGCGAAATTTGCGAAACGAAGAAGGGACCCAAGAGCAGGAGCAAGATGGAGAGGGAAGGGAGCAGCGGTTCCCTCGGAGCAGATGCGGCAGGGAGCACCGGAAAGGGAATCTCATATCACACAGAAAAAAGCCGGCAGGCCATGTTCGTAAGTATCAGGATGCACAGAAAAGAATAAAACCGCACAGGATCAGGAACATCTGTCATGATGGGCAAGCTCATGGCATGCTGAGTCTTGTATGCAAGAAGAGGTGGAAGAGACACATTTTTCTGTGACTGGTGACTTTCTTGCAGTTGTATGCGAACAATCACTGCCGGCTTTATTTTGTGGGATATCTCATCCGCAAAAATCAGTACGTCAAGTTCGTCTTCGACAGCCAACGTGACAACCGCACTTTGCTAAAAAATACAAACGTGTCTGGGTCTGGTGGGTTGCTGCGCGCATTTTTCAAGCATCTTTTGGATCACACCGATGGTGATGGTCTGAAATGCGCGGAGAAATGTTACACTTTTTGAGCATCGTCTTGAAGTCCGTCCAGAGACAGAGATTCGCTCGTCGCGTAGTGACCACAAATGCGCAAGTTTATGCAACTAAAGTTTCATTTTTATTTCGCTTTTGCGTGATATAATATCGAGAGTCTAGCTAGCTGTTCGCGCCTGCTTGTTTCCAGACCCCGACATATTTTCACTGCATATCTGCGAATCATCAGCCACTAGCTTGACCTCGCATATCACGGGAAAAGCATGTTTCAGTTACTTACAAATGAGTTGCCAATGAATTCAGAAAGAGCAAGACAAAACAATTTTCTCTGCATGAAAGAGAAAGCTTGCAGTGCAGGGATCATCCGGGAAAACACGTATGAAACGAGGCTCGAAAGCGTTTCGCGCATGACCAAGATTGTCTGTCGTGCCGGTTCTGCAGCACACACTTTTTCCATTGCATATTGCTGCGCGGAGAGATAGTAGATACGTTCGGCGAATCCATCGCGAATCAAATGCTCTCGCCGAAGTGGGATAACAGAGAAGTATAGAAAGCAGATTTTCTCCTTTCCCACTTGGTTTATTGATGAAGAACATATTTCTATTTTATTTATACAGAAATCATTCTGGACGTCAGTGGAAACACAAACACGAACATCTGGTCCTAGTACCCCTAAGTTTTTTCAAGCATGTTGTACGTCAAAGTCTTACCACGTGCGCTGATTGCATGCCTTCCAGTTCTTTCTTCGTTCTGACGATTTGTTTTCCTGCTGTTGTCGGAGCACGAATCGAGCAGCTCTAACGCGTTGAAGAGCTGCATCATGTTGCTATCCATAATCCTGCTTCATGATCCTTCCTCTGCAAGAGCATCACGCTCGGCCTCGGACGTATAGACTCGCACGACATACTCGTAATGACCCGGATTTCCTTTTTTGCACCCCGCATCTACATGCTGCCTTTGCAACGCAACTAATTCTCCATGTGGTAAAATTTTGCACGCAAAAACTTTTTCTACTTCTACAAGCATTAGTATGTATACTTCTTTTGCATTAAAAATTCATACTCCCTTGACAGACGGCCTTGCGACGAATTGCAAGTGCTGTCTCGGCGACCAACGCGCTTCTGACGTGCGGAATTCTGGAAAACATATCATTTGCAAATATGTTATCTGGGACTGGGTTCTGACGAAGAAATGACTTCACGTTTGATATTATCCCGGCATGCGAGATAAGCGGTTGTATGCCGATGCGGCACTTTGCCGTCCACATGCATCTCAGATCCGAGGAAACCCCGGGGCATGAAAGTGTAGTTATGTTGTGACAAGCTTCTTCAGTATTCCAGACACTCTAGAGAAGATATTTGCAGTGGATAGAACAGTATCCTGTGCAAAAGTATCGCGCTCGTGCTAATTGCAGTTGCAATCACACCCACGCATCATGACAAATCTCTTAGTAAGGTAGGTCAGCACTTCAAATCTCGCTTTTCAGCTATTAAAAATGATTTTGATGAAATTTGCACTAGAAGTGCGACACTTTTGCTAAGCATAAACAGCTGTAACGACAAGGTTTTCAGTGTTATCCTCGCCAGTCACGAGTGCTTCCTGCGAGTCTTGCAGTTGCAAGTGGTACATCATGCTTACAATTACTGTCTGTTGCAGTTGGGTACGTCATCATCATCATACTGTCTGTGTTGTGTTGATGTTCCTTCCCGGGGAGAGTTTCTTGATCTTGTGCACTGCCTCAGCTAATAGCAGTTTTCTTCATTTTATTGCTATAGCGGAGAAATGAAGTCATTCTTTTTGTTTTTTGTATATCAAATGAAGGTAGTGTTGACCACTTTATTTTTATATACTTCAGGAGCGAGCGCGCTGCTTGGATTTGGTCATAAGTTCGATCTTGCCGAAAAGTTGGGTCCAAGCGCCCAAGGTAGCGAAGTCAGCGAAGCTTGTGGCTATGGGAGTGTCAGGCTCGTAGAAATCGACCGGTAGTTTGGCGCGAAATTTGAATTTGGAAGTGGCGCATGAAAATGCTTGGAAGGACGAGGGCCTGAATCCGATGAATGCGTCACCCTGTTTTGGAGAAAGCAGACTGCTTTATTTGTCACGCTCCGTCACGGGTCTATCACTTCACCATCTCTGACCCTAGAGGAGGAAATGCATACAATCGGCCTCACTTGTCTGCTCCTCAATACAGGCAACCTTCTATTGTGCCATGTACTTTAAACTCAAGAATTGTGCGAATGCATATTTCAACTTTGTCGATTTCAAGCCTGACGCTTCGACAGTGGTCCGGTATTTCGTAGAGAATTTTCCGGATGCGACCTCGGACCTCATATCCACAAAAAGGAACCATCCCCATTCACTTTGTCTTCACGCAAAGCATCTATTGAAGCCTGTGTTTGTGATGCAAAACTTGGATGGGGGTGAGGTGTTTTTGTTCTGGATATCTCATCAAAGAGCTCTACAACCAAGCCGAAGACGTGTCAAGGCGCGCTATATGCGTTGCAAATTTGTCCGGGTCTCGAAACATGTGACTTTGAATTACGCATATAAAAAAAGCACCTTTACTTGCTGCGGCCGAGCATGGAAAGTTTTTACAGCACTCTGCTCTGCACGCAGTACTGTCCCTAGAACTCCTTCGATCGAAGCTGCTTGCGACGATGGCGCAATACTTTTGCTGTGAGTGGCAGTGGTGCAGTCGGGTGTGCATGACAAATTGTATTTCATTTGCATGATGTTGAAGATGAGCAGCGAGGCATCGCCTTTACTGGTCACGCAACACAGAAGATGCCGCAGGCGTGTAAGACACACGCGAGAGGCTGCAAACTTCCAGACCTAGACATTTTTGCAGTGTATACGCCACCGTGTACTACAAGTGAAGCTCGTCTTACTTTCATATACCTATATGATACGTTTTATTTCTACAGAAGCAAGTGCAGCTCCTACGCTTTTACTTTCATTTCCCCTACTTCGTATTATTTTCTCACGCCACAGCATACGGACATGCGTTTTTTCCCAGTGATGTTGTACATGGGTCGTCTCGCTGCTGATTGATGAAAGACTTGTTAAGAGTGTGGCGTATTATGATTTTGTTTATTGCGTCGGTCTACAGGTGCCTGGGTGCGTTGGAAGTTTTGGACTTGGTTCTGCAAGGAGACAAGGTCGCAAAGAAGTTTGAGGACGCAAAAGAGGCCTGTATCGACTTGCTCCGACTAGGGTTTCAGGACGGTCTCGGGCCAAAGATCCGGTTTCGTGCCACGACAGTGGTCAACAGGATACGAGACGTCGTGCATGAAGATGTACTACAAGTGGTGTTTTTTCATTTTACTTATTTCGTGTCATACTCATACGTCGTGAAACTCATCATTCTTGAATGATCTCGGCACTACGATCATGAACGAAGTCCAAGCTACTTATATTTCTAAAACTTCCTCTCTGCTTTAAAGTTTATGCATTGTGCTGACCTGCTCCTGCATATTTTTCGCATTCATTTACATGATCCTCATTCGATCTTTCCATCACAGGAGTTGGAGCCATTGTTTCGGGACCTGCGGCCGGCAGTCGTGAGTCAAATAAATCGCGCCCGAAGCTCCCAGGCAGAGCCGGAGAGTCAGCAGCAGGCTCATCTCTCCGTAACCAATGCGCACCATGTGGTGGTCGGCGTAAAACAGGCCATGAATGGAAAAAACAAGAACAACATCAAGTACCTGGCTGACATAGACGGAGACGAACTTCTGATGGTACTAGTTTAAACTTTGTTTCTTTCTGTTTTGCGTTCCTATTTTCCGCGGAACACAAAAAAGGGCCGAAGTAGAAGGTGTGAGCATATTAGTAACTCTAACTTCGTCAACAACCTCCTGGTCCCTCGCTGGAGGAATGAATCCTCGTTATCGCAGGAGAAAAAGATGATGAGAAAGAGATTTATACGCCAGAACATCACAAGCAAGTAATGACTCTGACACACTCACCCAAAATCATGACTCGTAGGACGCGATTCTGGACGAGGCCGGCATTGTGTTTCAAAAGAGCCTATCCCTTGCAAGAGCATAGCACGATGAGTAATTCATGAAGATTTTTGAATTACACGAGTGTTGTTGCTCAGCATGCAAACCTGACTCTGCAGCCTAAAGACAAGAAAATATCATATCATGTTGAGTCTTGTCATGCAGTACAACTACAACGAACTACAACTACACTAAGAATCACTACACGTACGGTACTTTTGCGGAGGATAGAGCGATCGCGTCTCTGGGGATGATTCGTCGACCTCCGTTGGTGGAAGCACGCGTGACTCCTTTGGCCTGCGCTCGGCGGACCTGCTTACGTAAATTTCTCCAACAGCATGGAGACGGCAGGGAGTGATAATTCAAATTTGCACACCACTCTTCCTAACTACGTACTACAAGGGAAAGGGTCGATTTTTATGTCAGTGTTGCTCCGGGCCCGGTCGCTCCCATATGCGACTGTGAGTCTGCAGTGGGACAAACCTCCACGCCATGCCGCCTGCCAGCGACTTAAAGAAAACTGGGGCAAATACAAAAAGAAACTGTAGCTATTATGTATTACTATCTTATTCGGCTGCTGAAACCACTCTACTACGATATACAATTAAGCAAGTTCATCAAATTCAAATTAATTTAGCAACGGGATGATTCCGTTAAGTATAACATGTAACAAAATTTCAAAAAATAAAAAATATCTACGCTTCGCCGCGCTACTACCCACCCCGCGCGCCCTCGCTGTTGAATAGTTTTTCACACGATGTCCGTAATTTGTATCAACTCCCTCATTAAAAGAAGACCAAGAGCACACCGAAGACCATTCGACCATTCCTCCCCTTGACACGCTTCTCCTCGACCTAGAGTGAGAGCTTTACCCGACGGGCCCAAGAATTTGAATCGTGCCAGTGTAAGGAAATCAACGTCCGCCCAACTACAGGGAGTATACGCAGTATACATATGTAGGAAATCAAACCTATGTAGTGAATAAATTTTTACGCGCACAATCAGGCCCAGGCGTCAACGTAGACTGTCGTGCCCATACTTACTTAGTGCCCCAACCCCAGGGCCATCTGAGCTCCGCATCAAAACGATTTTCTAGACCAGCCAATTATAAAAGTCGCGCTGGCAATAGCAAAGTGCACATCGGGAATACAGTCGCAATTACAATTGATGAGTTTTTCGCTTCGTAACGTAACCACAAAAATATAGATATCTATGAAACCAGCAAACGAATCTTCAAACTAGCAGTACAGAGCTGTAGTTTCGTCATCCTCATCGTCCAGTTGTTTACTATGTGTATGTTTCCTCTATTATGATGTATCGTCTACGTTTTAGCAATGAATGATTGAAGTTGTCACCAGAATGTCGCCCCTCCGGGAATTCCCTTTGTACTTGATAAGTTACTGGAAGAGGCGTACTGGGTGGAGAACTACGTTTCGAGAGCTATGTAACCGCCCCACGATGGCTACAGAAGTGCTGCTTATTGCCCTTTTGCAGGTGATGCCTCTAAGTTCAGTCTTCGCACTTCTTCATCCGGTCATAGACACGACCAACATCGATCGACAAACACTAGCTACGCCGCCACGTTCTGAGGATTGATGAGAGATTCGGTATTGAAAACTCGCTATTGCTTGGGTGAAAGACGTGCTTTTCAATTGTGTCAGTCGTCGAAGTCCATATTGGAGTCCGCACGATCGGCGTCGTTTGGGAAAGGATCTTTGTCGTGATTTTGACACCTAAAGTTTTGTCTCTACGCATATCCCGAAATGTTAGTGTCCTCGAGTACTAGTGTGGTCGAGCTTAGGGCTATAATTGTTTTCCCGTCGGTGTTGCATCTGTCAGTATTAGCGATTATGTATCGTCGAGGTGGAGAGATCGACAAGAATAGACAGAGTATGATCATTTTTTACGATTCCCATTTCGACTCGCCAATAATCTTATTCCCGATAGTACAGCAGCTTTTTTTTGGGGCTATACCAACCAAGGGAGGAGAAAATGTATAAATTATGCAGGTGCCGTTTGTAAATGAAATAGCAATTACGTACGCACCACAACAACGCCTGAGTTTCACCTTCATCACAGACTCACCAAGAGGGGCTGAGTGTTATTCCTCTACGTGAGCCCAGCAAGACCAAGAAATAGAAGACGAAGACGAACTACGGGCGAGTTGCCCTATTTGTTAACTTTTATCCAATCATGACGGCCAGCTCGCCGAGCACGGCTTCCGGTGGGCAATGCCGTGTATACAACCGCGCAATCGTCTATGGGAGTGTCGGGCGTGATGAAATCGACAAAGTTGCAACGAGACGAAATGCATAAAATTGTAATTGATCCCAGGAATCAGGTCCCCACTCATTCTTGGGCGGCGCATGGCATTTCTTTTTTTCGGGCATCTAAATCCAGTCCGCGATCCTGCTCTTCGGTCCAAATGACTGTTGAGCGGCTACTCATGACATGCTCTTTGGAAACACCATTCTTGCTGCCAAAACAAAATATTAGGTTTGCACTTGGCATGATTTATCTGCCCTCCAATACAGGCATAGTTTCCATTTTGTGTGTTCTTGCAATTTGCAACTTCCCCGGTGGGTATTTCTATTTTGAGTGGTCTTCAAGTTCTTTCGCCAGCAGTCGGTTTGGCATCACAAACGAGTTTAACTCTGTCGATTTCGACTTGGAGCCTGACACTCCCATAGTGATGCGGACATGGTGGCAGACGGACAGATGGACGATATTGTGAGGAAAAGTCCCCCCTACCCGTACTGAAGAGATATGCTTCCGAAAATTTGCGATGCTGAATTGTGGCTACAGATCGTCTCTGTCTTGCAACAAGAAGATGAAGGCAATTCGACAGAGGTCGCCGCATTATTCCGGCGGTTCGATGTAATGCAAATGCTAATAGAGCCCACACCGCAGGCGTCTCTCGTACTGACTGCTTACGTGAAAACATCCCGAGCCTTGTTGCAGATCTGGTCGTGCCTGCAGTCCCCTTCTGCAAGACTACAAGGCTGACTCGTGTACACGAATCCCGCGTCACAGGTTTCCGCTATATTGATATGGGAAGGGGGGACTTTTTATCTTGATAGACGAGCTGCCACCCCCACCACCGCGAACTGCTCCCCAAAAAAAGCAGGACTCAACGCGGTCTTCCAAGCACAAGGAGCTGCTGAACCGAGTGCACGAGCAGAGAAAAAAAGACCAGACGCAAATAAAGAAAAATGTACAGGAGTCCCCTCATTTTTTTCAAACGAGTTTGTAGCAGCTGTGTAAAGATGATGAATGCGTGACTTTTTTTTGTTTCCACTTACTAGGAAAGCAGATGCTACTTGTTTCACGCATGAAATAATCATCAACATGATCTTCAACATGGTGCACTTGCTATAGGAGCAATACCCGGTCTTCGTGATAGAAGAGTATAATTTCACCTGCCCTACTAGCTCTTGTTATCAGCGTCCGTCTCGTCGTTGTCTCTCAGCGCATTGTTTGATACCTCCCACGTGCTTGCAATATCTCCAGGTTGAGCGCAACAAGGAGGTGCGAGAGCGTCGGTTTGAGCGCTTGTTAAATTCCTGTGTGTATGCATTGCGAATATGATGTCTGGGTCTCCTGGTGGAAAGATGCAAACTTGTACTTGTGATGCCGATGCGGATTCTAGAACAGGCAAAAATCTGCGTTGCCGACTCACCAAAAGATCATACGTGCTTTTGTCTCGAATCCGAAAAGAGCGTTTCTCATGCAGACTAGGCATGGAGTAGGAGTTGGAAAACGACAACGAACACGAAAGAAGCCTTGTTCGCAAAATTTGCAATACCGTGTCGGCACTTATGACCTTCTCTCAGATGCGAAAACTGCAGGACAAGTGACTGCTCTCTGCCGGACCCAGATGACACATTTGCATTTGATAGTGTGGGCAGTGACGAGGTGATCCTCCGCGGACAGGTGACCGAGATGCTGCGGCAGCATATCATGTGTAAAAACGTGCCCACCCCAGGTTTGGCTGTCGGGCCTGTGAAGTTTCGCTCTCTAGTGTAGTTGTGGCTGGGAGCGGGTGAAAGAAGTTGCATCACGTCCAATGTCTCTCCTTTTCCTGGTTACTTAGGGCATGGCGAAGCTCAGGATACTGTGACTGAGAAAATGCTACCCAAAAACATGGGGCTCCTGCACATGAGATACGATCTGGGCAGTTGCGTCGTACGCATGACAAGTTTCAAAGTGTGTCGCATTTTGTTTAGCGTGACAAGTCCGGGGTGGGCGTGCGGCTTTTACTCAGGATACAGCAGCACAACATGGTAGCGCGCAAAGTGGGTACGCAGTTCCAGGAGTGGAACGAGAAGGTTTTCGAGAATATTCATTGCAAAAGTATCGTACTTAAATCTACCATGAATCGCATTACATTTTTTTCTTGTTTTCAGAAACAAAAATGCTAAATTTCAAATGCTATTTGTTCAGGTGGAAAATTTGATTTGTGAGCGTGACGCATGACTGCAACTTTTACTATGTTAAGCACGGCACCTTTGCAATTGATAGAGAATGTGCAGCAGCAGCTCGACACAATCATGAATCCTCCTTCGCGAGAGCTCATCCAGACGTTCCAGGGAATGAAGAACGTGGATTTTACGTTACCGGAGGAGAAACGGAAGGTGAAGAGCAGCAGCTTTCGCATCAGCCCCTGCTACAAGGACTTGGTGAAGCTCGCCGACGAGAACAGCTTCCGCTACAACATGGACGTCGCCACGGAGACCGCGCTCAAGCACAGCGCAAAGAACTCAATGGACGTGGCCAGGGCGCAGTACCAGGGAAGTCTGAAATATCTTCTTGCAAAAACACCACCAAAAACACCTTTGCCGCACACCATCAATTTGCTATTCATACAAAAACAAAAAAAAATCACGACGCGTAATAATGCGAATGCCCCTATTTCACAGTCAAAATTTTACTGATTATTTTTTTCTGCAATACAACCTCAGCCAGAACTTGAACTACAAGAAAAAGAATTACCCTTCAAGTTTCTGTTTCTCATCTTGCCAAATTTGCAACATACTTAAGTGTGACTGTGCTGGTGTTTTTTTTTTCTTGCATAAGAAACCGGTGGTGGCTAAGTCCTCCTCCAGCTCCTCGCTTCCAACGAACAAGCACTCCGCCGAGCGCCAGGCTATGTACGCCGAGGCCCTGTCCGCCGGTGTGGACACAAAACTGCTGCATGCCACTCACTATCCTCTGGAACAAGAGTTGCACTTCAAGTACCGTGCCGCTCGGAGTCATAAATTTCAATGCTAATAATTCATTGCATTTTTCCTGCGTCGTCATCTTCATTTTGATTTTTACGCTATTGTTGCAGCGCTCATAAACCAAACAACTCGTCTTTGCTCAGCCAGAAAAAAACATCGCAGTCGTAAAACCGTTGTCATGTTTAACCGCCATTGATACTTGTGGCGCTACTTTTGCAATTCATAGCCGACCGCTGAAGCCGGGCATGGGCAGCTGTATGAGAGTGCATAAGAACTCCCCCTCATCCCCCTCATTGTCATTTTTTGGAGCGCATTTCTAGCAATCAAGACCACCTCACAAAAGAGGATCGTGGTGTCGCTTGGACTATGCGGCGGCCCTATGCGAATACGACCAAAAAGCCCACTTCGTGGCCACAGAGTTTGCATTTTTTGGGCATTTTGCGTCACGAGCAATATAGGGAAGAAGAGATTGGAATCGGGCACCTCCACTCTCATAAGCTCTCCCGAGGTGCCAAAATACGACTTGGACGCCCGGTTTCGAAACCAGGCCATCCCGCTCTCGGCGGACGTCGCCTACCGAGTTAGCAACAACGCTCCGGACAAGCACAACCCGGACCTGCACATCCACGGCATTGACTACGACCCGTACCTGCACTACTTGGACATGCTCGACCCGAACAAGGTGGGCTACAACGCCGACGAACCGCGGCAGGTAACCGACCCCTTGTTGGCGCGGTCCAAGCCGGTGCTGGAGCCCAATCTGTGGGGCCAGCTGGCCATCCAGTCCACCCCGTACGGGCACTTTGCGCAGGTGTGCGCCCAGGGCGCCGACTACAAAAAGGACCGCAACTTTGTCCCGGACGAGTCTGACAACGTGCCTGCGGCCGGGAAGCGCAAGACGCTACGCATAGCAAATACTGATGAATCTCGGTCCTCTACTGAGTGAAGATAGACTCCCAGGCTACTTTTCATGGACACTTTGCATGACCTCCCGTGTTCATGTGCTTGACGTTTGTGAAGATGTATGCCCTAGCATGATCAGAGACTTCCTGAGGGCTCCTTTTTTTTACCTATAGTCCCGCAGGAGGAATGCCATCTCCGCGTAGCAAAAACTGGATCTCTTGGTGCTCACGCAATACAGGTTCATTCTTTACAAACAGAATCCAAAGTAGCCGCGACCAGCAACGCACCATTCAGTCACAATCTTCAATACCCCGTCGACGAGGACATCATATTTGTTTTTGCAATGGATACACACGGTTCACGCGCAATGATGTGGGGATCCTGAAAGGCGAGGTGGCCAAGCGCGGTGAATCCATTCTGAACAAGACCGACGTCGTATGAAAGTGCACAACTCCCCTTCCCCTCTGTCATGCAAAATCCCAAATCCACTCTTTGCCTGTTAGCACTGTTTGCATGACAGATTCCGGAATCCAAAACACCACTACAACAATTCTCTAGGAATTTGCCATGCAAAAGCTGCATCTTTGCCAGCGCTATTGTCTTGCTGTTCATGCTCAATGAGTGAATGAATGAGGGGAGAGGGAGTTGCGCACTCTCATACGTCGGGGCCAGCAACGCAGCACCAAACCAGGACCACTTCACATACGAAAAAGGAACGCGGGTGGTGGATGGCGAATTCCCCCTCGGTAAAATGATGCTGCCGCACAAACACTAACGAAATGCGCGACAAATAAGTATGATTTAAGTAAGTACTTCTACTACGCTGTTGATAAAAGGTAAAGGAGAAAGAACGTCGACCTCAGCTTGAACTTGTTGCGGTGATGTGGCCGCAGAGTCAACGCTTTTCACCTCGAACCTGAGACGTTCAACCTATCAACGATAAATGAGTTGAGATAATGCATTCAAATAAAGGACGCAGCTGTAGTTCGCAAATAAAATGGGAGGAGATCCACGACCCAAATGAGACCTCTATCCTAGAGCCTCTGTGATGCAACCTTCAAAACCTTACCTAGAGTACCTTTGATTTTACAGAATTAAATGCTCGCCGCAGATATGCTAATTTAGTTTAACATACACTTTTGATATTACGCTTGGTAATATGAAGATTACGACGATAAAGAAAATCAGGCGCGTCCTCGAGACCGACGTTCTTGTGCAAGTACTTAGAGCTACCGCTAGCGCTCGCAGCTTGTATGCCATTCTCTCTGGCAACGCGTGCTGAAATGATCGAAAAGGACGGACGAAAGATAAAATTTCGTTCGCAGATGCACCACGAAAGATCAGACGCAAGCGCGATTGATATGTATACTACGAGCACAAAACTCCTGGTGCTGAGAATTCGATGGTAAATCTGGACGGAGAAGAAGGAAGAGGCGACGGAGCTTCTCTGCTCGTGATCGTGTTCAGTTTGGCTTTTTTTGTTCGTGCTCGCCTCGAGAATGAGAAACGAAAGACACAAACGAAGAGGCGGTACAGAAGAACAAGCCAAATGCTACAGCGTAAAGGTAAATTTAGAAAATGCACTACTTACAAATACAATTTCGATTTTTACAAATGAAGGATGAAAACGGACGAGAGATGACGATCTCAACACTCGTGCGCATTTGTACTGCACGTAAACTACGGTGCAGTGAAGTCGAAAAAAATAGTACTCGTGATCGATTCTCGGAACTACTCGATGAGCATCTTCATCTCTCTGAGCAGTAGAAAGCCACACCCGAAGTAAATCAATGCGCAGCCTGCTCCTGGCGTGTATGTTGCAAGTGTCTAGCTCGTTTTGATATCCAGCGATTGTCGCCTGCTGAGAAACCAGTCGCCAGCTACGGAAGACGAAGATTAGATAGTACGTTAGGCATTACCTCGCTCGCCTTGAGTTGAAGGAGCGGCCGCCGACTGATTAAATATTCAGTAGCGATACCTTTCGTCGCAAAGACATCAGGCAAGAACAAGAAGTTGAATGCTTTCCCCGAAAATGCAACAGCGACCTCCAAGCTTTTGCTCGCGCGACAAAATAAATACACTACTTTACAAAACGATTTTTCTGATCAATTTTAACAAGGAAGTGCTACTAGTTTCATCCAGAGCTGCTTTTCTCGTTTCAGTCATTCACCCATCTGTACCTGTTTAAACTTTGATCTCTCGCCATAGTTGTCTATGATGTTTCTTGACAAATATCGGCAACTGGAGCTGTGGCTGTCTAATGAGTGTATGTTCAGAAAAAAGACGGCCAGTATTTACCATGTTCGCACTCCCAAAGCTGAATTTTTTTCATAGGATAGTATAAAAGCAAAGAAGTGCAAAAGTCAAGAGATCTCTATACACTTGCGTGATGAATCCTGATCACAGTAATTGTCAATGAAACAGAAGTATCAACATGGCAAAAATGAAATTTGGCGACAAGGACGATTGCCGAGCCGCAAAGAATAGCAGGTGACGACTCCCGGCAGCACCTTCCCAGTCGACAAAGCAAGGCATTCTTGAGTCAGAAGTTCTGTTTCATTCATAACCTCCTGCAAAGCAACTGCCCAAGTAGTTTAATCACAACCGCTCGACTAGTTTTTTTAATGGAGATGCATAGTCGGAGAGAAGAAGAAAAGTAGCATCCAGCCTTTCGCAACAACAGCAGAAACTACCAAGAAACTCAAAGTGAACAACTCCAACAAATTACAAGCAGCAGGCCTGCAACGTCCTTGGCTGAGGGTGTGGTGGCTGAACTTTCAAGGAACCACAGGAGCGTCTAATTCCTACCCCAGTCTTGAAGCGAACTCCAGCTTTTTGGTCGTCCACTTTCCTTTTCATCCGCCACCGCATGACTTTGACTGTAGCAAGCCCGAGGACGACTACAGCACCACGACATCAGCACTAGTAGAAACAACAGAAAAGTAAACACCAGGCGACCAGCACCACGACCGCTTCTTTACGTGGTACAAGAAGCAACAAGAAGACCACAACCACGACGTGAAGTTTTTCGACTTCGTCCACTCGTAGCTCGCTGGAATCTACAACAGCCAAGAAAAGAAAAGCTTTTGACAACATGAATGTGACAGAGCTTGATCGGCAGATCGAGCAACTGAGGCGATGCGAGTACATCCGGGAGGCGGAAGTGAAGATCTTGTGCACGAAGGCGCGCGAGATTTTGGTAGAGGAGTCGAACGTCCAACGCATCGAGGCACCCGTGACCATATGTGGAGACATACATGGACAGTTTTACGACCTCCTGGAGCTGCTCCGCGTGGGTGGAAACTGCCCCGAAACCAGCTATCTCTTCATGGGCGACTTCGTAGACAGGGGGTATAAATAAGAGGACTGCTTTTGTTTATAGTTATACATTGTATTTTTAACCTCCGAAAAAGTTTTTACAGCGTTGTAGATGCTTCATGCAATGCTAGTACTACGCAGAAGCTTGTCTTTCGGCCCTTTATGGTCATAATGGCTTGGAGAACGACGACGATCACGAAAGACAAAAATGCCACTGTTGGATGTTGTTGATATCGGAAAAGTAGGTAATCATTCCTCCTGCTTAACAATAACATTCTTAGTATAGAAATATCTTCGACAGATTCATGTTGTACTTGTATCTGAGTCAGATCTTGTTCAAGTTCATCAAGATATGACTCATCAGGTTTTATTCGGTTGAAACGTTCCTACTTCTCCTGGCCCTGAAGGTCAGGTATCCGGAGCGAATGTTTCTAATCCGGGGCAATCATGAATCGCGACAGATTACACAAGTGTTACGCGAGTGGACATCGATTCTTTTGCCCGTCCCCCTTGGTTCTTGAATCGCAAGATCATGAGTAGCAGCGAAAATAACGACCTGATAAATGATCATGCAGGCTCTGCATGAGAAGTCCATGTACGGAATGTAGATAGTGCGATTTCCTCACCTTTTCGAATTCTATCAATATCTGTTTTTGTAATGCAGGCGCTGCCACATCCAAGTGCAAGAGCGGTATTTCCATTTTATATGTTGATCTTCGGCAAAGGACAAAATGAAAATGAGAGGAGGACCACGGGGTGGGGTAGTTTTGCAGTCGCATACGCGTACGGCTTCTACGATGAGTGCTTGCGAAAGTACGGCTCCGTGAACGTATGGCGGTACTGCACGGAGATTTTCGACTACCTCGCGCTCTCCGCCCTGATCGAGGACAAGGTGTTCTGCGTGCACGGTGGTCTGTCGCCCCTGATCTCCAACCTGGACGAGATCCGTGCCATCGACCGTAAATGCGAGGTGCCGCACGAAGGGGCGATGTGCGACCTTCTGTGGTCCGACCCCGAGGACTGCAACGGGTGGGGCCTGAGTCCCCGAGGGGCCGGCTACCTCTTCGGCGGCGACGTCGTCCGGCAATTTAACCAGGTAAACGACATCCAGCTGATTGCAAGGGCCCACCAACTCGTTATGGAGGGGTACAAATGGATGTTCACCGGACCGCTCCCCGTGATGAACAAAAATAAAAGCAGCAACAACGACGAAAAGGAAAACGACGGCGACGACAAAATGAACGGCATCGCGCCCCCCGCGGCGAGTGAGAACAAGAGCGGCCTCGTCACAGTATGGTCCGCTCCCAATTACTGCTACCGCTGCGGGAATATCGCGAGTATTCTGGAGTTCGACGAGTCTTTGAATCAAACCTTCAAGACCTTCGACGCAGCGCCAGCAGAATCTCGCGGCGTCCCAGCGAAAAAAATTGCCCCTGAGTACTTCTTGTGAGCTACCCGTAATGAAGTAGAAGAGAAGCTGGCCGCCTCTCCGCATCTTGTGCTAGCTTCATTCATACGACCGACGTGTGTTGCAAGTAGTATTTAAATAATATGAATTAAATTGATAGATATTAGATAAATCCTTGAGAACCAAGACACAGCGGAAGTAGGATGGCTGGCAAGACGTGCACTGTAGGCCTCGCCTGCGGCCGCACTAAAATTTTTTTTTTGCTCCCTCTCTAGCTCCCTGACCAAATAAACGAAAAGCTCGTAGCCTTGAATGTTATTACCCCCCGAAAGCAAGAGGTGGCTGTTGGCGACAAGATAAAAAATATGATATCGTACTGACACTGAGTACGCGAACACGCACAAAAAAAAGCCCACCAAGTAGCACCATTGTTCCTGCTGATGATAGTTGCAAATACGGAAACGCAAAGGCAAAAATGTACATAGAGGAACCTGGTAGAGGTACGAAGTACTCGCTGTCGTAGCACTAGCTTCTGCGTCGCAATACTTACAAGAAGAACATAAAGAAACTCGCTGGGGCCCGGACGTGATAGATAAGTACGCAACTACTAGTACGAGTAGGGATCTTCACGTAAAGATGACGCTACCAATGCAACAGGAGGGAGCCGCAGCGATATGACTGCAACGTACATCACCCGTCCAGGAGCTCAGGCATGTCCACTAGCGGTACCGATGGACCCCCCCGGCTAAAATGAAACGCACCTACTTGCTACTTGTAGCTCTATGATCATCAGCAAAAATATAAAGGGCAAAGACCGTCGGCGCCAGTGTTGCATCCCAGCCTGGGTAGCAAGCCGAGTTGATGTCGTGGTCAAGTTCTAGTTGCTGGGAGAAAGATCTTCTTCCGACGTACTGACACTGACAGCAAGTGCTGTTCTCGAAGGAATGCGATTGCAAACGTGAACTGACCAGCCAGATGGATTGCAGGTCGGTCCACCAGGTGGTACCTTTTTTTTACCAAATGATATATCCTCCTTGGTCTGTATGTGTATCGCCATCGGTTTTTTCTTTCGTGTCCTTGTGCTTAGTAGAGTTTCTCCTTTTTTGCTGCGAGTGACTTCTGACGTTGCCCGGCAGTGGAAGGACCGGGTCGAGGAGCTACAAAAGTAAAGAGAGCAAAAAAAACCATTTGAACCAAGAAAGCGTAAATGGGGTCGAGACCCGTCTGCATAGTCTTTGACTTTGTGGAATAGTCTTTGTGGAATAGTCTTTGCTTGAGCTTGTTTATTTTGGAACTTCACTTCACTATTTTTTATATTTACCTCGACGTAGCACGAGCCATAAAAGGCTTGCCGGTACTACATATAGGATTGAGTTGGTGCTTACTTCTTTTCTTTCATGCGTCTTATTGTTATAATTCACAGGTTGTAGATGTAGTTATACGAGCCACGTATGCTCCGCCTGTGTAAGTGTGAAACAAAGTAGTTCAATTGTTCCGCTAGACCGAAGAACAAAAAAAGAGCCAGATGGACAGGAGCTCAAAAATAAAAAACGAAAAGCCAGGGACAGAAGCAGCTCCGCCCCGTTTGCAGTTGTGGTTGTAAGCAGATCTTGATTGCGATCGCAAGCAGTTTTTGCGGTTGTGAGGCGTATGCGCGCCTGTGCTAACAACTGTGAGCAGTTGTTGTGGCTGGAGTGGTTTTTGCGCCACTTTTCTGCATACCGCGGCTGTCATTCTTCGTGCCAAACTATAGGTAGGTCTCCACAGGCGAGAAGAGTCCCTTGCTTTTCCACCCGATGCAGGCACTGAGTGCCGAGATCGTTACGCTTAGGCTTGTTTGCTTCCCGCCAGCTCTTCAAGACTTTGAAAACCTGGGGCGTCGTTCTTCCTTCCAGCGCCGCGCGCGCTTTTTTCAGCCAGCTTTGACGACCCTGCCTCCTATTTTTGTTGACTGTCGAATTCAAAAGGTTTGCAAGTTCTGCTGTTGGCCCTCATCTTCAAGCTTTGCCTCTTCTTTTGCTTTCAACTTTCATTTTTTCGCTTTAGCCTTTACGTTTAGCTTTTACCCGTAGCTTAGTTTTTAGCTTCTACTTTTGGTTTTACCTTTTAGATTTCTTTTTTAGTTTTTCCTTTTAGTTTTTACTTTTTTTTTTGGCTTTTGCCATTGCCTCGAAGTTGCGGAGTAATTGTTTGGCCATCACGACTTTAGTGTTAGCAAGGGATAGATTGTTGCAACTCTCTTGATGGTAAGAGGCCAGCACCGCCGCCGCGCCATGAAATGAAATGAAATGCACGTAGCCACTTTGGATCAAGCTTCGGCGGCGCCGTGGTAGCCGCGTGCTCGAGGGTGGTGGTGCGATTCTGCGTCTGTAAGAATATCTTTTGCAGTGGCAAGCGTACGACTTTTCCATGAAGATCCTCTTTAGTAGTTGCATTTCTGGCACTGCCGCGGCGCACCTGGGCGGTCTGCATTCGTCTAAGGGAGATCGCGGCGCGACGGGTGCAACTCGTTTAGACCGCCATGCAGGCTGGACGCGGTCGGGCGCGGAGGTCGAGGCCGCGGCGAAGTTTTTCTTTGTCACACGGTTCAGCAATTTTTTTTGGAGCACCGAGGAATTTCCTACGACCCTCGGCTGGAAAGTCCCAATTCCTGGCAGAACTGGAAAGTTGTGATCTCGCCGAGCCGCCCGGGGGTTTTAAGGAAAATCCTCCTTTGGCCCCCCTCTCCGCGGCCGACTGCGTGCGGACGCCCCAACTCCGGCATCTCTTCCAGGAGAGCCTGATTTCCCAGCCCCGGACCGTCGTGGACTTCACATATTTCGGGGCGGCGAGTCGCGACGCGTTGGAGATTCGGATGCAGGAGTTGAAGGACCAGGTCGATCTTTTTGTGATCGTCGAGGCCGACGTCGACCACCGAGGGATGCAGGTCCGGAATGACATCTGGCCGGAGGTTTTGTCCAAACAAGCGGCTTTTCGGGAGTTTTCTGATCGCGTGCTGCATCTACCGCTGCACTACACGGGGTCCCGTCTGAACGGCACAGACAACGCGACCCAGTTAGACAGCGCGCCGGTCAGTTTTGCGATCGAGGCTTGGATGGCGCAAGAGGGCTCCCGCCAATTGCACACAAAGCTGCAGAAGCGGTTTTTTTCTTCCCCAGTCCGTGAGAACAGCGAGGGCAGCGCCCTCCAAGATGCTTCTGAAGAGACAAAATCAGATTCGGAAAGAGAAACTGTCCAAAAGTTGCAATTTGTTTCAAACAATACAAGAACATTGCTGCCACCGCAGCAGCCAACTGTGGACTCGCGGGCGCTGCTGGTGCTGACTGCGCACACTGACGAGACCCCAAGTCGCGAGGTGGTGCAATTGGTGCGCAATTGCAAATTTCGGGGGGAGAAGCTTGAAGAACATTTTCCGTTGCACACTGCGTCACTCATGGTCCAGAATTTGGTCGACCAAGCCTTTCGTACCGATTTTCCTGCCAATCCGGCATTCCCCTACGAATATTCGCAGCCTACTTTTGCGCTTTTTCACCCTGCTAAAATCGAGGACGCGGGCGGGGCCACAGAAACTCCTACAGCACCAAGCGGGCCGTCTGAGCGCAAAGCCGAGCTTGATACGTTCGGACGCGTCGCGAATGTGCCCCCGGAAAAAACCATTTACGGGGGGGCGCATATGACCGGCTACCCTTTTCCCGCGGCTTTTTTTCTGAAAATGTTGCAGTGCACCGAGTGCAGGGGGGGCGCCCATGGCGTGATCTGCACGAGGCGATTCGCCAGGGCTGCGCCAGTGGAAGTCGTATTACGAGGGTTGCGGAAGCAATCAAGACCGAACTGACCGCGAAGCAGGTGGCCTCAGCGGGTTGGGAGACGCGGTTTGCGGATCCGGCGGAATTGGTGCAATCCGACCAGAGTAAAACCTACGAAGAGATGTTTCACCTGCCGGAGTACTTTACTGCGAACAAGAAGCGGTTCCCCGCGTGGTTCGGAAAACACCAGGACCGTCGTGCGTTCATTGCGTGCCCACTAGTCTGAGAATCAGATCAGGATTGACACCAAGAGACTTCTAGCGCAACAAAGCGCTATCAATTACGAGCCAAATGCCACGGGTCCCATCACACCATTCACGGGTCCGGCAGTGCCCCCACGATGATTGACGAGGCGTTGCTGCACCAGATGTTTTTTTATGGGGTGAAGCCAACATGCGTGCGAATGCGAAACCACAAAGAAGAATCCGAAACATGTTTCTTGAGTCAATTTCAAACCGTAACCCTAACCGATACCAGCATGTTCCTTCCTCCTGCACTAAAATTACAACGTCCATAATGGGCGATGTGAAACAAGACTGGAGCTTGACAGAGCTTCGGGCCGAATAAACAAAAGTGCTCTTCAAGAGCACTTTTGTTTATTCGGCTACTCGCAAGACTTGCGAGTAGAAAAAGCGAAAGCGATTTTCGAGGCTTTCTTTTCATTATCCACAAAATGAACCTCAGGAGGTGCGTGCTTATTTTTTGGAGGTGCGTGCTTATTTTCGAAGAAATTTTGGAGGTGCGTGCTTATTTTCGAAGAAAAACCATGGCGTCGCAACCTTCTTGAAACAAAATGCACTTTAGGCTTTTCCTTTTTCAGTGCCTGCGGAAAGATACGAACTTAAGGAACTAAATCACGACGCGCATCTTACTTGTGATTTATTTGTTGTTCGTCTCAGGGTCAGGTGGTCGGTCACGGTCTGTGTTGTATCTTCGTTCCTTGCGCCAAGTTTGTAACAATGCAGCAATCCGGGGGGACCTCTATCTTGGCACCCCTCGAGAGCTGTTAGCACGACCTGACGCTCGATTCAGATAGAGCGAGGTCATTGCGGGCCATTATTTTCCCTGAAAAAGTTAAAAAGTAAAAACCCGCAGTGCTACGGGTTAGTTTTACTAGCGCCACCCGTTGCGCCGGGCGAGTAGTGTAGCTCATAAACGCACGGCGAAAACGGAAAAGGGATGCTTGTCTCTATGCCCAAAAAGGCTTAAAATAGTCCATCCCTCACGCTGCTGCTGTGCCGGTGGTTGTGGCGTTCGGGTGGAGGTTCGCCGGTGTGCCGGTCGTGCACTACTAGAAAGCTGTGCGTAATAGTTCCGTGGCCCTCCCTATGTGGTGCCTGTTCGTGTGCATAGCATCCCGCGGAGCGCCCTCCCATAGAGTAGGTTTTGCATGAAAATAGCGACACCCGTGCGGATCAGGTGCAGGAGAGTTGCTCGGCATGTACCGCGACCGGGGGAGTAGTTTGGGTAGTTAAGTAGTAATAGGATGAAAAAGGTGCAATAGCTTACCGACCCGCTGTTTTTGTTTACCAAAAACTAAGGTGGGACCTAGTAGCACGTAGTTCGAAAAAAGAAAAGAAGACGGTCCGTTGCTAGGCATCGTCGACCGACGTCTTTCTTCTTATTTGTGTCTCATTTTTCGGTCCGTTGCTAGGCATCGTCGACCGACGTTTTTCTTCTTATTTGCGGTCTCAGGCTGTGCAACAAGAAGACTCGTGTACGTATGGACTGTACAAATAGAAGTACAGGAAAAGAAATATAGTTATATTATTATTATTATTATCGAAGAGAAATATAGTTATAGACATGATTGCACCACATAGTAGAGCGATATGCGGAAAAAGTCTCGCATCATGAGCGACATCATGATCACCAGTATCACAATCGCATGCATTCCCTTGTATTGTTAGTTTATCCATATTCTATTTCCTGTAGTATCTGTAAGGGTTGCATAAAGAGAACGTAGTACCAACATGTCCGAGTGTTGATGATATTGCGCTGTCAAACAAGTTTGCGAAGAAAATTCGCCGTCGAAAGCAAAAATGCCGTCTTTCATCGAGCCGTCATCTGATCAGACCGTCGGATCAGCAGGGGCCACGACCGCAGCTGCAGCTGGTGTTGATGAACATGAAAATAGTACGACTCCGGGCACGGGCGACGGACAGGAGGCACAGCTGTTGACTCCATCATCAACGTCGTCAACCAACAAGTTTAATCAAGGACTCCTGGAGGAGCACCAGCGAGCGAATGGTCTTCTCAAGAAGGAGGAGAATCTTCTTCAGGTGAAAAAAAGTCCAACCTTTCCCCAAGGACCGGTCTGGCGCGCGCAGATACCCAACATGTGCACGTGCGTCGTGATTCTGTGCGGTTGCTGTTTGATGATCAAGCCAACACCACTGCCGTATAGTTCTGACTTTCGCCAATGAGTTAGAATTTTGACAGTGTTGACATACTTTGACTTACTTTACAACCCAGCTGCTGCAATGAAGACTCGTCCTGGGTAGAAGGGAAAAGAAAGTACATGTACCATCTAGCAATGGGTTGGCTTTATACAACGGCCCTGGTCGAAAAAATAATGAATGACTTACTTCTCAGGCTAGGCCTGGCGCTCCTCGTTGCTCTTGTTGCCGTTGTCGCGGATATGATGGACGGTTTGCTGGCCCGGTACCTCGATGCCTGTTCCCAATTTGGGGCAGCTTTTGACCAGCTCGCGGATCTGGCGTGTTTCGGAATCAGCATTGGTGTGTATTTCGTTCAGCACCTAGCACGCGTCGGCAAGGACCCGGAGGGGCTTCTTTTGCCCATGGCTGGATATATCTACGTCGTCTGTGCCTGTGCCCGCATTGCACGGGAACTGGTCGTCCACAAAATCGCCAAGCCACTTTTTTTCGTCGGTAAATAAGATGTTTTACAACTATATATCCCGATTACATTTACTTTTACGAAACGAATGCACGCAGCATTTCCGCAGACTAATGTTTTGACGAAGCACATGCACACGTGGGTTGGTTACGACGAGCACAGGTTGATATATCATTTACGTAGATATTTACAATTTTTATTTTTTCAATTTATTGCTCACGATCACGATGAAAAACGTCTTTTTTGCATTTTTAGCATGACCTACTACGAAAGGTATCCCGACGAATCTTGCGGGTCCCCTTGTGATATCCATGTTAATCGTTGACGAAAGCATGGCTTCGCTTCCTGTCGGCGTCATTGCGACGACAATGGTGGCTTTGTCATGGTTGATGGTGATGCCGATAGAAATACCGAAAGACCTTGGAACGGGGGTACTGGGGACGCAAATTCCACGGTTTCCGGTAAAAAAACGAAGCAAAAACTGGTCATGAGGTGCGGAACACAGAGGACAGTGACGCGGTTTCGAACACCGCGTCATACAGCGAAGCGCAACACAACCGGAGACAAGAAAAAACTACACAGGCGCACCTTCTCGAAACCGACCACTGCTGGGTCTTTGCTGGACGCGGCGAATCCTCGGAGCGCGGCTACTTACTTCAATCATATGTTCTTTCGGATGACTCTAGAAGAAGTAACTTTTACCATACTACTAGTCCTCTAACGAAGACTTCAAAAAGCCGTCGGGTTCTTTCGATTGACTCATCTTCACCGACGATGGGACGCGGCAAAAAAGTGCACGCATTCTTATTCTGTTTCAGTCAAACTCAAAGGCGAAACACTGTGGCTAGCGCGTCTCCGCGTTCTACATTTTTTTGTGGTAGAGATTTTACCTTGTCTGCACCCAATCTCTCCTGCACGTGACGCAACGGCGCCTCCTGCAGATTTTCAATGGAGCAGTAGACTAGTAGAGTACGCTTCGGCATATTATTGATGAACAATGTCTAATGTGAGAAGTGGGAACGTGTACAAAACGCGGTGTGAGAAGTGGGAAACTCACACTGCACAAGTGCCGACTGCTACTGCATCTTACTCGAAACTATTTCGACATGTTGCCATATCGGAGCACTATTGCGTTTTTGATTGGAAAGAAGAACTACGGAGCCTAGAATCAAAAAGTCAACTCCACAAATTCGTCTGGAATGGGATGAAATACAATTGTGAACCATCATCGGAAGTCGGAGTAAAGGACGACACGACGAATCATTGGAAACATTTGTAGTACGAGTGACAAAGTGAACTTGGCATCATGCACTATGTGAGAAAACTTGCTGCAGTATTGATCTGTATATTTATGCTTTTGTTGCTGCATGATTTTCGCAGCACTTTCCGGCACCAATGCAACCATGATCATCGACTCAGTTCTTGTTTTAACCGCTATGATAAATACCCTTCTGCAAAAATGGTGTTCGCAGTTGTTTTCCTCATCTCTCAAAGTGTCGCGATAGTGCGCGTCTTAAGCACAGCGCTTCAAGTTCAAGTGTTACTTGAGTGAGGTAACAAATTCATTCCTTAAGTTACCGGGTAACTTAGCATCCGGCCGGCCGCCGGACACTAGGTTACCCGGTTCCAGCCGCCAGCCTCCGGGATCCCGGGAGCGGTCCGATCCGCTGGAACGGGCTGGCGGCTGGAATCGGGTAACTTAGCGTCCGGCGGCCGGCCGGATACTAAGTTACCCGGTAACTTAAGGAATTAATTTGTTACCTCACTCCGGTTTATTTTTGTTTCACATTGACATCATTCCTTCTGATGGGGATTTCCGGAAAGAAAGTTATGATAATCGTGGTCGTGTTCATCTCGCGTCGTCGCTCGTTCGTTCGAATCAATCGTCAACTAGAAATGTCTTCGGCATGTTTGTAAAAGTCATTGCATGTTTGTAAAAGCCGACGCTATTGCTGGGTGGGTAATCGATACTTATAAGAATAATAATGGATAACTTGTAGAACTAGCCGACTTGTTGTTCTTATGTGATACCGCATCGCATTCTCATCTCAACAAAGCAAGATGAATCAAAATCCATTATAGCTAGTTTGTGTCTGTTTCGTGTTTATTGGCAGGAAGTTTATGATGTTTAAGTTGCAGCTCGATTGATGCTTGCGAGCACTTTTCGTTTTTATCTTCAAGGACAAGGAAAATAAAAAAACATGAAACAAGAGGCCCTGTATGGGTCTCTCCTTTCCGGTAGTAATGACCTCCAGGTGGAGCACGCCGCCAATTCTTCCTCTTTCATGATCTACATGCAGCTTCATCGACGACGAGGAGCAAAAACAAGAATCACTTCTTTTTGGCCTATCAAGTGCATGGATCCCGCGGAAACCGAGGTGAAAGATATGAAGACCGCAGAAATGGAGAAGGCGACGGAAGAGTGCCCTGTCACCGGGCGCGAGCCGGACAATCCAACAAAGTATGAGGTCGACTTGTACGCAAAGCGGGAAGTCGAGAAGGCCGAGGACGAGCTTCACGGCCTGCGTGAAAAGAGCCGGCATTTCGCCGGTGACAACCGCTTACAGCGCATTGAAACGGCTGCGAAACAGGCCCGGGAGAATGCTATGGCGAAAAACGCAGGGGAGAAGAAGTTTCGAGAGTCGGATTTTACGGTGGAAAAATTCGTGCGGGGAATTCCGCCCTGGTTGCAGAGCAAGCCCGGAATGATGAAAAAAGACGAGACAACTCCGATGCCGGACCACTGCAAGAACAAAATGAGACTGTATGACGCGGAATCAAAGGTTTCAAGAAATCAAAACAAATGTTTTCATTTTTTGAATAACGAGACAAAATGCTAACTCTAACATCATGATGTAACCAGCCAATAAGTGCGACCACACCAGCACGTCATTCGTTCCTGCTGAAGGAGTGGAAGTATTGTGGTCTACCAGTAGACCATTAACAGTATGTCCCATCGCGTGACAATTATCCTATCCAGCAGGTGTATTGAAGATTGTCGTTCCATGTCGTCGCGATTCGCCCTGACACAACTGAACTGAAGACGCCAAATCAATCTAGAACAAGCAAAGTAAAAGTTGAAACACAAAAAATCAATCACAGGTGACCTCGCGCCAATCTCTGAATGATATGAGAGTGCACAAGAACTCAACAAACTCATTCGACGTGTGGCATTACTTAACATAAAAAAGCGCATGAAATAGAAATTGTGGACTGGGCATGAGAAGTTGACTTAGAACGAGGGGGAGTTGTGCACTCGCATAAACGATGCTGACCCGGTAGACCTCGAGCTGCGCATGACGGACATGGCAACACACGCCTACTACATGTGGGTATGGAAGCGTCAGGATCGAAGTTGACAAGTGTGGAAATAGAACTTGCGATACCAATAGTTTGGCCCCCGTCAATTTCTAAGAACAAGCGCATCACAACCAAAACCCAGTTTGACATACTGTCTGGGACAAAGAAGACTGGTCTTGTCATGCTCCGTCGCAGCTCTAATATTAGTAATATGTATAACCCTAGGCAGTCTTCCACTTGGCCTAGTTTGCCTGCTCTCTATCTGTGTCTTGCGCTTTATGCATATCACTTTTTTTTCTTTTTCAGCTATGTCGATCTTGATCCTGATGGTTCCATAGTGGGGCCAGGCCAAATACCTCCTTTCCCTGGTAGCCATGCACTATGCCATGCAAAGATGTCTTGTGGAAGGTCGGAGACGGACGAGACATGAAAAACCATGCATGGCCAGGAGCGTTGATTGATATTTGGTCATGGTCTCGTGACAATGGCACTATTCCTGTAAAGAACATTTCCGATGTCGAAGTTTCCCCCGAAATGCTGCGCTATAATTTTTCGCTCTCTGTCATGCGGGGGCAGTGCAGCTTGTCATGCGTACGAAGACGAAGAAACAAAGAACAAGAACACGCGCAACAAGGCGTACAGCTGGTCGCTCGAAAAATCCTCGTGCACATTGCCAGTCGCTGCGCACTAGTATACATCGCTTTATGTCGAAGTGTATCTGTTCTTGCGGTCCTTCTTCTTGTTGCACCTATGTATGATAATTTTTTTTATTCGTCAATCTTCAGCTTTCGGTTTTGCCACACAGACCAACATACAGGCAGATTTGCAATGGAATCGCGCTCTCCACAAGCGAAAATGGCTCGGAACCTGGAAAATGTCGCGCACGACGTATCCCGAGAAAGGACCTCATCCCTATCCAAATTCGTTATCACAAACATGAAGTACCAGATGCTGGCTTCGGTCAACATGCAAAACATCAGCTCCCCGTTGAGTGGATCCTCAGGATAGCATATGGCGCAGGTGCTCCTGGGAGATGAAAAAGGCCATTCCATGATGATCGTGATAAGGATGCAAAAATGCATAAGGGCGGGCTTTTCTTTTTTTTTTCTGTGGATACGCAGCCTACGAGTCCTCCATCAGGGTGATAAAGGCCGCCGGTATTCCCCGGATGAAGACGAGCCCGTATCTGCCACTGTACGAAACGGGCGTCAAAAAAGCCGGCTTTCTCGACACGGCAAACCCAACAATCGCGGAAGCTGTACTACAGCTAGCGACTTGTAGGCGCGGCACGACAGAAAAAATTGACGGCACAGGAGATGAGGACGAGCGCAGCAGGAGAATGAATCAGAGCAAAACAGCACTCAGTGTCTTCATTTCTACACAGTATCACTCATCCTCGCCACAAGAAGCTCTTCATGGAAAGCTACAGGAAGAGAGAGGCCTATCGCTATCTGGTTTCGAGGTCGGCGTTTTTTTCTAAGTACATAGATACGTATCAAACAGGATGAGGCTCCCTTTTCGATTCGAATTATAATTCTGCGCATTTCTATTTCTCTACAACCGGAAAAGCTTGTGTATGGTGCACAAAGTGATTGTAAATAGAAGTACTTGATTTACCTTCAATATGTGGACGCCGGTGCAGCCCGTGTGCGCAGTCCCTGCTGCGCAATCGCCAATGTCCTGTCGCAGCGAAACTAGGTGTGAAGCAAAAAATACGTCATGGCTTGTTGATGTGTTTCAATAAAATAAGCCGTACTAGTACTTGAGAGAGGAGCACCTTCTTTGGCAACCTGCTTCTTGTTCGTTGATTCCGCTTACGTTCCCGTAGTTTTGACTTTAAGTAGATTTTGAATTCACAATAAAAAAACGCGAGGGGTTCTGTAGTCGCTTGCTGTGGTAGATTTGCAAGGCGTATTAACATCGGCACGGCGACCCATGTGTAAGCATAAGCTTCACAAATGTGTGACCAAAATTCGTTGAAGTAAAATAATTTCGTAGACGTTCGAGAGAGAGAGTAAACCCGTTGCACTCGCTGCATTAAACAACATCCTTTTTTTGGCCGCATCTACTACCTCTAACTATGCTTTCCGAGAGTCCAGCATTGATCGTAGCTTTTCTTCGCCGTGATCGTCGGGATGAGTTATTAGAAGGGGGCACTTCGTATCCTTTAACCTGTTGCTGAACTCTGCTGACATGTCGTGATGCGCAGTTGTCTTTTTTCTTGGCCGTGCAGTCCTTCTCGTAGTGGTAGCAATGCCGCTTTAAAAAGCTGGAGGCAGGAGAACCAGGCACGTAGCACGTCCGTGGCCCCGTTGTCCCACACAAAAGGATTTCTTCGAGCGCACGATAAGAATATCTTGAAAAACTACCAGGATTTTTTTTGCTAATCGGGGAAGGGGATATTACTCAAGTAGAGCAGTTGTAGAACAAAAGAACAGGGGTGATACACAGGAATAGTCGACTTCAGAGGCATCGCACTTCTCGTCACTAGAAGTTAAAGCTTGAAAACAACATGCGCGCTCCAACAAACCCACGCGCCAGCTCATTCGACGCACAGCGCTATTACTCGAATGGCGGAGCCGCGCGGGCGTCGATGCCCGGGGGACTCGGGGCTGCCGTTTCTTCGAGTACTTCGCCTTTACTTTCATCCCGAGTTTCGAATAATGTTATGTAGTGAGGTCACGAACGTTCTAATCTAGCGATCTTTTTGACAGGCAGTGCGCAAAACGACCGGCAGTTTTCAAGCGGCCGGAAGTGTTTTTGGACAAAAAAAATTTTCAATTATCAAGCGGCCGTGGCTTTGCCAACAAACAAGCCCGGGCGGATTCTATCGGTTCGCACTGGATAAAACGACGCAGGGGAGCCGGCAAAAGGGACGCCCTTCCGAGGCGGCTAGCGCACCTATTTCCGCCGATTTAGGGCGCCCAAAAAGGGGCGCCCAAAAATTGGCGGCGGGAAAAAGAAAGCGAAGCCGCGTGCTATGGGCACCATTTTTGCCCATTTTTCGAGGCCGCAGAGCCGGCCACCAAAGTCGGGCACTTGTAAGGCGGGGGGCAGTCCAAAAGTTGCCACTTTTCAACAAAAAAAAACAAAAAGCGGAAAGCTCGCCAAAAGCTAAAAGCTCACCCGCATGCTATGGGCCCGATTTTGGGGGCCCATGGGGGTGGGCCTCGTGGAGGCCCTGGGGTGGCTATAGCAGGCGGGAAAGCGTTTCGATTCAGGGAAGCGCTTCAGCAAAAAAAAGCCAAAGGACGCAAATCCCGCCAAAAGCAGCAAGCCAATCCGCATGCTATGGGCCCGATTTGGGGGGCCCACAGGGCCGACCCTGGCGGAGGCCCTTGTGGGGCCATAGCGTGCGGGAAAGCGTTTCGCCTCTGAAAAGAGCGAAAAGACCCGGCGCCGTCCAGTCAAAAAGACCCTGCGTGACCTCACTACCCCCGCCTCGGCGGCTATATTTGGCAACGTTAATCTTAATTTCCATTTTGCTTTTCATCCTCACGTCTGTCAGCACTAGTAGAAGTTCGTTTCTTTTTACAACTTGCAGTACTCCTAATTGTAGTAGGCATTAAATACTAACCTTGTGTTGTCGCTAAATAAAGCTATGTCAGCTAGTACGACACACCATGATGAAGCAGAAACATCAAGAAATCATTGGTGCAGGTCCGTCGCAAGTTCAGCGATCAAGTATGGGCCTTTCGCGCTCTGGTAGCATGGCCGGTTTATCCCCATCAAAAGCCGCAAACCGTCCGAATGCCTATGGTGGGGCAATGACACACTCCCAGCGGAAGGAAAACGCACGGAAGGCCAACATGTCCAACTCCCAGGCGTTCAAGCAGCAACAGGAGGAGCGAGAGAAGAAACCCAAGATCGTGTTTCTTGACGTGGACGGAGTATATTTTTAATGCCGTTCTTCTTTCTACATTGAAGACATTGTTCACTTCTTTCCAACGTCAAAGACTACAACTGCTTTCATTGCACATGATTTTTGAGTCTGCATTTTTTGTTGGCGTCTGTATTCGATTTTGTGCATTTAATGTTTCCGCACACCGAAGGCAAGAACGCAGGGAAAGTTGCAAATCAGGTAAGGCGCAGCTGCGGATGATCCACCACATTCGCATGAAGGTCTTCTGCTACTTACATACACTTGTTACACAGTCACTGTCAAGGGGAAAAATATTAAAGCAAATGAAAACCAGGTTCTCCACTCAATTCGCGTGACGCGACAAGAGCAGCTATTCAACGCACAGAAGATGGGCCTGCTTCGCAGAATACTCCAAGCGTCCGGCGCGTCAATCGTTCTCTCGTCCGCTTGGCGAAGAACTCCGCCAACGCTACGCATGGCATACCAAATGTTGGCCAAACACGGCATAGAAACGCCGATCGACATTACGCCGGATTTTGGTATCTGCGGGAAACGGTCCGCGGAGATCCTAACTTGGGTGGATAAATATCAAATCAAAGGTACCTACGTACCGCTACTTATGCTTTTTCTTCAGGGTAATCTTCATCTTGTTCATGAGTTTTTTTAGAGGTGGAGCCTTCATCTTTCTACCATCTACGGTGTGACGATAAAAAAATTGCGCGAATTGATTCGATGACGCAAGTTGTACAGAGCAAGAAGGAGGAGCATGCAATACATAATTTCAGATTGGATCGCCATTGACGATATGGATCTGAACGCCGGCGAGCCGCGCATGCGACCGCATTTCATCAAGTGCAATCCGCTGGTTGGTCTGACGAGCGACCTCGTTGAGCAGTCTATCAACATTCTGAACAGAAACGATTGCGCTGTCGAGATCCCTACCGGAACGAGCATCTTGACTAACGCGGTGAGCAGCACCAGCCTCGTCGGCGGCCCAGGAGCAGCTTCTCAGGCCGAGGACGGAGCGAGCGGGGCGCCGCCGAGCGGTCTCCCGAACGGCGCCAGTCGACGCGTGGTTAGCCCTTCTCTGAACTCTTCCGTCGCGAACGGGGGCGCAGCGTCGTCTCCTGCGAAGCAGCAGCATCTCCGTGCTGGGATTCATCATCTGCCGACGACGGGAACTGGCGGGTCGTCCGGCAAACTCAAATCCTCTTCTTTTGCGGACCTCAAGCACACCGCGAAGCCACTCATGGCTCGCGTGTAACAAGGCCCGCGCCCGTTGTGGTTAAGGTTATGCTTATGTTGCGAGATGACTAATAAATAGGACTGAACAATTTTTTGATGGCGGTAGGACGCTACAACTAGAACTCCTGCCTGCTGATGGGATTTTTTCGCGTTTGTCATCGCAAACATGATGTTGTCGCTGCTTGCATCCTTGTCTAGCATGATCAAGATGTTGATGTTGAAACGCTATCTCAAACCGGGGATCTCGCCAAGAAATAATTTGCTTCTCAGATGCGTACTGTTCATCTTCTGATTTACAATTTTTACTTTAAGGAGAACTCTTCCGCTCGTCATGACTCAAAAAGACGAGAGTAGGGCCATCTTTCTTCGACTTTGTATTTATTGGTTACTTGTAGTTTCACATTGTTTCGTATTTCCAAAAACAAATAAGAACTCTGTAGTTGTTGTATGCATAGCTTCTGAAGGATTACTAGTCTATTTATGATAACATGGTCAAAAATGTATACCACTTTTTATTTGGATGCGGAAAACAGTTCTTGCTACTTTACCAAAACCTCAACTGTATATATGCATTTCTTCACCCGATTTCGCTAAGATTTTCAATCAAAGCAGCGCTCTCTTCGCTTCTTTATTACCGGGATATCATCGACCTTTTTTCGACATCGGCTCGAGGATGAAGTGGTTGCGCTATAGTGCGTAATTTCAACGACGTGACGACTCGCCTTCTGTCTGACGTCAAGAACCTCAACAACAAGAGCACTGCCACTTTGTTTCTACCCTTGTTTCGTAAACCCTGTAAAATTTTGGTTCTGGGAACATTTCACTCCGACTCTATCCGAGCGTTAGTGCCCGTATTCACCCTTGCCGTTTTGTCGAAAAAGTAAGACACAGCTTGTCGCTTGCGAGCGGTGGCATCAGCGCTAGCCCGACAGCTACATGATGCGGTCCTGATGTACTTCAATATCTTTATCTTATTGTGATGTTCTAAATGTATCGCCATCGTATACACAGTGTAGTGAAAGAATTGAGATTGACTTGCAAACAAAAGATACAACTTTCGATCTGCCTGAGCAAGTCGATGAGTCGGTTTCGTAGCGTGTATGTCATGTAGCGTCGGTTGTCATCGATGTAGCATTGTGAAAGTGCCCAGATCATCATGTAGAGAGAATTCATTACGCCATCGATTCGGTCTATCGTATCCCTATCAACATCGGTTTCCGTCATCTCGCGAGCTCGTTCGATTCGCACTTGAGAGAAAGCGTGAGCTCAAGAAGGCCTCCTGGCCTTTCGTTGATCTTCGTCCTTTTACGGGCCTACAGCTCGTCCTAACTTTCTCGGTCGTCTGATGCAATCTCGTTCTGAGTGACAACTCCGTGCGTCGTCATCGTCCTGCTCCGTGCACTAATCGAGGTGCCGGCTTCCCTTGCAAAAAACCAAGACCTCAGCGATTACCACTTGGCTTCAAAAGTAATGAGATTGAAATTATGAAGCTGAAAACTCACTCAGTTTTTTCTGTAACACCCACCAAATCGAATACATTACTCCTTCTGCCCCCAGAGCATCAAATTGCTTTCTTAAGTACTCAAATAAAAAGATGTGACTTCTCCCGATTTTATTCTGATATTGGTCAAAGGTGGTACGCGAGATTGACGCATTGAAATAAGAATAAGTACCAGTGTGTATTGCAGGACGAGGCGAAGTGTAACGTTAATAATTGTACTTACAATTTACAACCTCTAGCTGCAACCATTACTCGAGCGACGGATCTGCTTGAGCGAAAGTATTCCGTTGCTTGAGCGAAAGGTATTCCGAGGCAACCACCAAGCTAGTTGCTTGGCCTTCAGCCTATTTCTTATTTTCACGATTTCTACACCGCGCATCAGTTCTGTTGTTTTCGTTTTGTCAGACCGACGCATTGACAAACACGCTGCACCAGAACAGTTTTGATGTTCGAGAGAGAATATTAAGGCAACTTACTTCTTCCGACGAGCACCAGCAGCTAGGACCAGTCAGTTTCATTGATCTTCTAGGAAAAGGACGCATAGTATTCGTTTGTTTCTAGTTCTGCGAAGCCAGCATGCCTTCCCCAACTAATGCGACACCACGAAGTGCGCGGGACCAGCACGAGCGCGAGAAGATGTTAAGCTCGCGCGCCGATGCGAGTATCGCGGCGGGTCGGCGGCACAGCATGCGGTGGCGCGTCCTGGCGATGACCTGTGTGGGCCTCTTATGGCTTTCTCAAACGCTACGCTGATCGCTGTTACATAGTTTTTCTGTTTTTGTCGCACAGAAAAACTAAAATACACTAGCCCACTGCCACTTCAAACGGACACGAAGATAAACATAAAGCATCGTGCTTGCATGACATCAAGGCCCTCGCGAGGACTTGCTCAACAGTATTGAAGAAATCTTATCTAAACACAAAAAAAATGTACCGGAAGACGCAAAAAACTCTCGGCAGTTTCGCTTTTCCTTTGCATGACGTCGTGACAGCGATTCATGTAAAAACGGTTGAGAACGCTATATCTGTTTGGGCAATTTTATGCGTACGACAATCCGTCCACGCTATTCAACGCCATGAAACAACGCTTCGGGCACGACGAGCACTTTGACATCCACTTCAGCATGCTCTACTCGCTCTACAGCTTCCCCAACATTGTGCTCCCGCTCGTCTGCGGCATCCTCATTGACCGAGTTGGCATTAAGGTAAAAAGTACAACATCTTCCACTTTTATTTCGTTGTTTGCGTATGACGAAAATAGAAATACTAATTTCATCAAAGATTGTTTGCTTGGTGCTTTGTCAGAGCAAAGCGGATGCTGAGCTGTCATTCAGCTACGGCTCACTCATGATTCGAGGACGACCTCGACTTGCTCACAACTATTTATCGAACACAAGAAAAAGAATGAAGCGTGATCGTGAAGATCGTGAAGGAGTGACAAAGACGTTTATATTTCAGTAGCATGCAGCGACGACGATGGATGACGATCACCATCTGCATCTCATCACGATTATTCTCTTTAGAAGAGGACTCAGACTCCTGACAGGAGAAAGACACAAACATATTGAATAATGTGACACTTTTTCTACAACAGGTGAGCGTGCTTGCGCTAGCTACGTGTGTAGTCACGGGTGCGGGACTGGTAGCTTTGGGCTGCAGGGCAAACTCTTGGACACTGATGCTATGCGGCCGCGCGCTATTCGGAATCGGTGGTGAAAGTCTGCAAGTGGCACAGAACGCACTCCTCTTCTCGTACTACAGTTGATTTCAGACTATTTCCATGCTGTTGCATTTCTTTTGGTTTGTTTCCTCGCTGCAACTCTCTCCATGTGGTCGATTCGGCGCAGAGGAATACGAATATGACGATAGTGATATTAGATCAGAGGAAATAACGACGAGAAAGTCCCAGTGTTTTCAAATCTGTCCTCTACCAGCATATGTACTATTCATCTTGCGTTCTTTGTGAAAATGAGGTGAAAAAGCCAACGGCCTTGTCGTCTTCTCTCTAGGTACTTCGAGGGGGCTGAAATCGCGTTGGCGCTGGGCTTGAATTTGAGCATTGCACGCATGGGAAGCTCGGTGAACGCCATTGTGACTCCCTGGATTGCCACACTGACCAACAACGACCCTGTGATTCCGTTCTTGGTGGGGTTTGTGCTGTGTGCCATTTCCGGTCTCGCAAACTTCGGGTCCGTCTGGGGCGAGAAGCTGACGAAGGCGGCCGATGATGATGAAGAGGTGTCGCTGGGAATGATCACCAGGCTACCCAGGCACTTCTGGTACCTGTGCGCCCTGTGCGTGCTCATGTACGGGGCAATTCTTCCCTTCAACAACATCGCTCAACCGCTGTTCGTGGCAACGTACTCCTTGTTATCTTCTTTCTCTTTGCAGTATCAGATTCAGAAGGCAGCATGTCGATAGGATAGTTGATTGTCATTTTGGTTTTTCAACGCTTCGCAGGAATGTTTCTCATGCACAGGGTTCCATCTTCTGTTTGGTTTTCGTGGATGCATTGTGCACAATAAGCGTCACGAAAGAACAACTCCCTCAAGGCTCATAAATACTAAAATCACAGGACCTACAGCAATGAAGAAGTTGCAGTTGGAAGCGCCCACGCTTCTCGTGCGGCCGCGTGGATGTTTATCATCAGCGCTTTCGCGACCCCAATTTTCGGGCATTTCGTTGACAAGTTCGGGCAGAGAACGATTCTGCTTGCTGCGAGCGCGACCATTTTGGCGTTTACTCACGGCATGATGCTGATGCTAAGCCCCTACATGGCCAGCTTTCAGCTCGGCTCCGTCTACACCGTTTTCGCTGCGGCGCTGTGGCCGAGCATTGCTCTCACGGTCGCGAAGAACTGCCTCGGCACCGCATATGGCGTTACGGTCTCACTGCAAAACATCGGCTTGGCTCTGATTCCCTTGCTGGTCGGAGACCTACAGCAGCGAACGGTATAGCTATTGCAATTAGATAAGTTTTTAGTTTAAGAAAAAAAATGGGATAACTAATGGTCGGCATCTGTTCGCTTCCCTTGTCTTAGTTTGCTCTTCTTGCTGCACATATAATGCTTTATGCTCTTCTTGCTGCCTTTGGCTGTGCATTTTGGTCTTCATTTGATCATGTTGCACGAATTGCTAGTTGAAAGCAAGAGCAAGGAACTGCTTACCCTTTTCATTTTCTCAGAGTCAGTGTGTGGATGAAAGTTTGTCTTGGTTTCTCGAACCTGAAGGACAAGATCAAGAAACACTACAAAGGTCCACAAATGAGGTACACGATGTCAACATGGTCATCTTATATAACATGGGCAATATGATCCTGATCATCAATTTTGTCCTCTCACTTGTTCCCATTTCCTTATCTTGCGTTATGAATGGCATAAAACAGGAGGGGCCAAGCGTGACAGAAGAGCAGAAGCTTGCGGGGTACGGAGAAATCGAGAAATTTTTCACGTTTATCGGCCTCGTCTCTACTGGTATTGCGTGGGCGCTGCACTTCGAGGCTGGGCCGCTGAGCCCGCTCGTTCTCCCAAGCGGCGCTGCTGTCAAGGGCGCGTCCCCGAGAAGTAGGAAGCAAGAACATGACGACGTGGAGGACGACAGCACTCTAGGAACGGAGATCAGACCAATACTAACTCCGAAGAGTGCGACTAAAAACGCCATGATGAAGCAGGGGAACAAATACGGTGCCGACAGTACCACAGCATCAGACTATGGGAGTTCGAGCTCTTGAATACCGGCCGGAGCAGGCGTCTTCAGTCAGCCGCGCCACCGGGATAGTTACCATGTTCACGAGCAAGGTGGCGACTCCTCTTCCTACTTCCCAGGGGAAGAGCGTTGGCGCCTGCTCGACGACATTGCGTGATAAAAACTTGTTCATCACCTGCGACTCACTTTGATGTCCTGCTCCTCCGTCCCCGCTCGGCGTCCGGCAAGTTTTTTCGCCATCATTTTCTTTTCCATAGGCAAGAGCGACAGCCTATTCAGCGTTGTGTTCACCAATCAAACTAGACACAGCACTTTGTTCTATTGTGTAGTACCATATCAGCGAACAGGTTGTTGCAGTAGCTGCCCGCCTCGTGGTCGTTGCTATGATTTTTGAATATAAATGTGTTGTTGAAGATTTCCTCCCGCGACTCTCAGGCTGTTGCTGCTGACATTGAGGATTCCCTCCTCCCGCTCGGAACTGTGAAATAATCTTGTAGCCTTAAAAAAATAACTTTAACCACAATGAATCTGAATGAAAGCAATCTTGTAATTTCAGTTGTATTTTACTCTGTAGCTGTGCACTTTAATGCAGCCCGTCAGTTTATGGATATGAAGATGGACACGCCGGAAGCGGACCCGGATAATTCCCTCAACCTCTTTCCTCAGCCTGGGGCAGTTTACTATAGCCGAGCTAATTCTCCGAAGTTGTTCAAGTTTACTATTTTCGCAGCACGTGGCACAAGAAGAAGGAGATACTGGTACTGCACTAACGAAGAACCCTAGGTAGAGTACTTAGGAGACCTGGACCGCACAGCAGTTTTGCACAGATTTGCTGCGAGTTTGTACATACCTTGTGCCAGCCTGCGCTGGTACAATGGCACTTGCTCCAGCCGAAGTTTGCAATGATTGCCTTCTCCTGGTCGTAGAAGTACTACCCGAGAAAGAGATACGGCATGCTGGTTGAAGGACAGGAGGTACCACTGGAACTACGGCACGTTGCTGAACGACACAAAACTTTTCCAATGATACGAAAAAATCCCTACGCACATGATCAGTGGCCGTTTTCGTGTTCAATTTTCCCGGTTGAAAAAATGGAACTCCCGAAGAGGCACGAAATGCATGGTACAATATGAAGAACCCCAAGAACCCTGTCGAAGAGCAGATATCTTTGTTGCACGCAATCTCTTTCTCTCTGGTCGTGATCATGCTGAAAAATAAAGCGCAGTACCAAGAATAACTGATCTATGGATAGTACATGCCGGCGATCGCAATGACCACGAAGAATGAAAATCGTGATCACCTATTTTATTGAGAAAAGGTACTCATACTCTCGACTAGAAGATCGCAAAATGCCATCGTCCGTCGTGTTTGGCCACCACGACTACGTGAAAATAAAGCTGTGTCTATGTGTAACTCTAACTATGCTGGGTCGCAGTTGAGCGAGTGGTGTACTGCTATGGTCCATTTGGTATCTCGAGGCAGTTTATAAATTGATTTGCATCTTCGTCAGGCGTAGGTACCAGCGGATTTGTTTGTTTAATAGTTGCATTTATGTTGTTGTGGTGCAGCTTGAACGTTTTTACTAGCAAACGCTCCTACTACGTGCCTGTATTGTGGCGCGTGTCCTTGGTCTCGTCGTCCCACGCAGTTCGACCCATTAAGTACATTTTTTCGATTTCGACTAGTACTAGTAGCATTAAAACAAAATAAAAAAGACTCGTTTGTAAACCATGACAGACGGCGCTGCGCCAGCTTCCAGTGAAGATAATGTCGGGCCGCAGGACATCGAAGTGCGGAAAGAGGACCAAAACAAAATCAACCGGTTTTCCAGGCTAAACACCGAATACACCGAGCTCTCAGAGGAGATCGAAGTGGTACTACCTCAACTTCTGCGAGGAACTGCTCTGTTTTTGTTACATTGGGCTTGAACAAGAACAAGCTGGAACTGGATCTGCATCTGGAATTGGCAAAGGAAACATAAAATTGAAATAACCGCCCCCGTGGCCCGTGCCGTAACTGCGTGAAGATGAAGAAATGACAACCATGATCGTGAATTATAATTAAGGAGCCCAGACACACGACAACTATTTCTACTGTATATTGAAAGTTGCTGCACCATATGCAATCTGGTCTACATTTTTAAAGAAAGCACGAGAAGCCACGCTCAAGCTCAGCGTCGTCTTGCTTGTGCTTCAAGCGAAGCTTGTGGGCCTGTTTTCTTGTTCTGTGTTGCATTGGAGGACTTAGGTACTTTACATCTTCGCGAACTGTATGTTGTATGTATGACGTGACGCATTCTGACTCTTCAGGTGAAAAAGGAGCTGCAAATGCTAACAGACGCAGAAGAAGAAGTGCAGTGCTGCCTGGAAGCGGATGGCCTGATGTATAAATTTGGGGACTGTTTCCTGCCCGTCGACGATATGGAAGCATCGGAAAGATTAGAGAAGCAGAAGACCGCTACCGAGCAGAAGCTGGCTGCTATGACCGACAAAATCGAAACTGTGAAAACCGAAATGGACACGGCGAAGAAGGAACTCTACGACAAATTCGGAACCAGTATCAACCTCGAAAACTGAGCTTCACGTGCCCCCTGCTGCACGACACGATTTCCAGTTCTAAGGTAGACGTCAAAATACATCAATAACTGATGTGAACAGGAAGGCGAAGGAATGCGCTCCAACCGCACCGACCCTTTTCTATCATGTTGTACAAGCGACAGCGACAAGTCTGAAAGGCTTCTGTAAGGAGCATGAAGATGCGACAAGTTGAAGTTCTTTGATGGTTTATTTTTTAAACAAGAACTCAGCTGCGGAATCCATCAGTTTCAATGTCAAAGAGAAAATAAACTAACGCGACGCGTTGCGGTCGTGCGGAGCAGCCATTGGCTCCCCTTAATATTTCCATTTTGGCCTCGCGGTTCCGATTGCAGTGGCTGCTGCAGCTGTTCTTTCAAATTTGAATGAGTTTTCTTTTGGTGTAAGCGGACAACCCGGGTGCTGCATTCGACGCACCGGCGACGTCCCTTCTACATGACAGCAAAGAACTGTGTCTCGAAGTAGAAAAAAAGTTGAAGATTGCATTTGCTGCACTTAGCGAATCTTGTTCTTGTTGAGGGACCTTCTTGTTGTGGGACACGTTTCGTCTGTGCTTGTTTTGTGTTTCGGAGGATGGTTGTTGATTTGTGGTAGACATTGGCAGTATGTTCTTTGAATGAGACCTGCACCTGCTGCACGTCCTCGTGCTGTGTTGTGATACTCTATAACTGTACTAAGAACATCAACATCACGATCACGAGAAACAGCACCGAAAGATGCACTTCGCAGCTCTGAGGAAGCAAAGAACCCCGCGAAGGAGCACAGAGATCACATCGTGGGATCAATTAGTCCACCACTTCCCGGCTGTAAAAAGTAGAATTTGTGTCAATCGCAAAAATAAAAATAATAGAAAACTAGTTTTGAGGTCATTGATCTCGTCGAGGCAATTGGTGTGTCAACGTGGCACGCCGCCCGCGCCCGACGCCCTGCTCTACAAGGCGGACAACAAGGACAACATCAACATGGCACGAAGGTAACAAGCAGTACGCTTGTGCTGTAGTTGCGGGGAACTGGCAGCAGCGCCATGGCTCTTCTTGAGACAGGGCGCATCCTGTACAATGACACGATATCCGTCAAGCTCAAGTCAGCCGACAAGGACGAGTCTGTGGCCACCCTGAATGTCAAAATACGGTAAGACCAAGTAGAGACTTGCTTCATCTAAATCTTCTACACGATGTCATCATGTAGAATCAGACAAAAATACTCACGACCACAGATGTGTATTGGTTTGAATTATATAATATATATAAATATCAATATGATCATGCTCCTCGTGGTGCCCCCCGCTGCCCGCTGTGGGTCTGCTTCTTCGTGAGTTGGCTACCACGGATACCTATGCGAACTTGAGCTTCCTTGAATAAAGCATAAATATTAGGATTAAGGCCCAAGAGCGTATTTTCTGCCAGTTTTATGTATCTCAAAGAAACCCAAACTACACGTACACAATGGAGCAGCCTTGGTAGAGCAAGGTTGTGAAGCTGTAGCTGCAGCGCCATGCAGTCAAAGTAAGTACTGCTGGTGTGCTGGGTTTATTTTCCGGTGGCATGATACTTTTATTGCTGATGTCTCATTCCTCCAGGTTGGACCTTACGCCGTCGCACCATCAGGTGCTTCTTTGCGACCTCACCGACACAAGCGATCCATTTTTTCTGTACTCGTTGGTGCTGGGGGAGAGCGACTTCCACGCACTGAAGAATGAGCAGAGGTTACTTGTGGACTTCCAACAGTTTCCGTCCCAGCTTGTCAAGCTGCTCGATGAGACCAAGCGCGGCCCACCCCCGTCGCCACACCGTATATTTATATTACTAAAATTTTTGCGCCAGATCTTGATAGTTTGTTCACTTTTCTTCAATCTACAAGCCACTTGTACTGCGCTACGACGTTGACTTGCTAAATTCTTGATTCCGGGGAGGACGGTATCCATTTTCTGCGCTTTCCGTTTCCATGAAGTTGAAGAGAAATAGAATGTCGCACGCGGTTTTCCAAAATAAAAGGCTGACTGTACAACCGAGGAGATGATAGAAAATATTTCTTTGTCCACCACAGATAACCAAAGCTTTGTTTCCTCGCCGGGGACGCTTGGAGGCTCGATAGCGGGTGGCGGTCCGGGGGCGATTTTTGCGGTATTGAACATCGTCTCCGGACATGAAGCGCTCTTTTCCATTACGGAATCCAATCAGTTCCGCGAGCTCCAGCACCTGTCGCTTCATTTCCGCAAGGGCAACGACGCGGCGGTCAAAGAATATCTGGCCGCAAAACTGCCTATGAGAGTACACAACCACTCTTCGCCCGCAGTTCTTGATGCAGTGATCGATGAATGTACTTAGTACCTGCAGCAACGCGAGTGGGAGGAAATAAAGCAACAGCTCAGCCACCACGAGGTCCACGACGGAGCCTTGGGATTGTAGTACTGTTTCGGCTGCCGAGGATTTTTCTTGGTCACGCTGGAACAGCCGATGAAACAGGAAGTGGAACGAAGGAAAAAATAAAATAAGAACCTGACTCGACATTTTGCATGACAACAAATTAAAAAGAAGGGCCGGGGGGGGGGGGTTGTGCGCTGTCATGATGTACGACTACATGGGACAATGCCAAGATCTGCAGACGCGAATAGGCATCGCGGACAGCGACAACGCGCGGCTGCGCGACCAGGAAGCGAGCGCACGACAACAGGCGGAGCAAATGAAAATGGAACTCTTCACCACAAAAGAAGCTATGTCCGCATCGTTCAGCAAGGAGCTTGCTGACGTGAAGGAAACACACGCGCACGCGGTTTCTTCCATTCAACAAAAGTTGAACACAGAAAAAAGCAGTTTGGAGAAATCATTGCGCGACGAACTTACAGCAAAGGTAAACGAGTTTTTTTTCATAGGCATTGTAAGACCAAAATAGACAGTAAGTAGATCAATATCATCAATTATCGTTCGATCAAGCATGTAATTTTTTTACGCATGTTATTCATGGCGGCAGCGCAGCCGGAAGACGGCGTAGCGCCTAGGGTATGTGCGGCTGTGAGCCTGGTGTCTCATGTCTCATGTCTTGGAGCCGTGTCATGACATGAGGACACGAACATGGACATGACACGGCCGTTTTCATGTCCATGTCTTCATGTCCCGACACGTACCGGCCCTGGGTCGGAGGAACATGATCTGCTCATGTCCCATGTCTCATGTCTTGGTGGACCCGAAAGTCAGGACATGAGACATGAGACATGGGCATCCGCGACACTTTCTGGCTGAGGCTGTAGGACACAAGACATGAGACATGGGACATGACATCGCCGTGTCCCATGTCCCATGTCTCGTGTCTCAGGACATGAGACATGAGACACGGGACATGACATCGCCGTGTCCCATGTCCCGTGTCCCAGGACATGAGACATGAGACACGGGACATGACATCGCCGTGTCCCATGTCCCATGTCTCGTGTCTCAGGACATGAGACATGACATCGCCGTGTCCGTGTCCCATGTCTCGTGTCTCGTGTCCCAGGACATGAGACATGAGACACGACTTCGCCGTGTCCGTGTCCCATGTCTCGTGTCCCAGGACATGAGACATGAGACACGGGACATGGCATCTCCATGTCCCAAGACATGAGACATGGGGCATGACATCGCCGTGTGTCCGTGTCCGTGTCCCATGTCTCGTGTCCCAGGACACGAGACATGGGACACGGGACATGGCATCTCCATGTCCCGTGTCTCGTGCCCTAGGACACGAGACACGAGACATGGCGCATGACATCTCATGAGACGGGCCAGTGGCGGCTCGGGTCAGCGGCGGCACGCGTCAGCGGCGGCACGAGGCCCTCGGCTCGGGTCAGCGGCGGCACGCGGTCAGCGCAGACATGAGACATGAGACGAGCCAGTGGCGGCTCGGGTCAGCGGCGGCACGAGGCCCCCCCTCGGTCTAGCGGCGGCTTCCGAGTCAGGGGCGGTCAGACAGACGAGCCAGCGGCGGCCCACGATGCGCCAGCGGCTCAGGCCAGCGGCGGCACGAGCCGTCGGGCCAGGGGCGGCCAGACGAGCCAGCGGCGGCTCGGTTCCGTCAGCGGCGGCACGAGGCCCTCGGGTTAGCGGCGGCCTCCGAGTCAGGGGCGGTCAGACGAGCCAGCGGCGGCCCACGATGCGCCAGCGGCTCGGGCCAGCGGCGGCACGAGCCGTCGGGTCAGGGGCGGCCAGACGAGCCAGCGGCGGCTCGGGTCAGCGGCGGCACGAGGCCCTCGGGTTGGCGGCGGCCTCCGAGTCAGGGGCGGTCAGACGAGCCAGCGGCGGCCCACGATGCGCCAGCGGCTCGGGCCAGCGGCGGCACGGGCCGTCGGGTCAGGGGCGGCCAGACGAGCCAGCGGCGGCTCGGGTCAGCGGCGGCACGAGGCCCTCGGGCTGGCGGCGGCCTCCGAGTCAGGGGCGGTCAGACGAGCCAGCGGCGGCCCACGATGCGCCAGCGGCTCGGGCCAGCGGCGGCACGAGCCGTCGGGTCAGGGGCGGCCAGACGAGCCAGCGGCGGCTCGGGTCAGCGGCGGCGCGAGGCCCTCGGGCTAGCGGCGGCCTCCGAGTCAGGGGCGGCCAGACGAGCCAGAGGCGGCTCGGGCCAGCAGCGGCACGAGTCGTCTGGTCAGGGGCGGCCAGAGGAGCCAGCTGCAGCTTGGGGCAGCATCGGTCGCTCGCGGCCGGATGGTCTGGTGGCGACACTTCGCGTGGGTTGGTTGAGGTTTGGTTGGGTTGGTTGGTGAAATGGGTGTCCCATTCCCGACATCCCAGGACGAAACATGGGAACGCCATGTCCCATGTCTCATGTCTTCCGGCCTGAACCAGAGTCGGCCGCGGGCGGTCGTGTCCCATGTCTCATGTCTTGGGACACGAGACACAAGACATGCGACATAGGAACACCATGTCCCATGTCTCATGTCTTCCGGCCTGGACCAGAGTCAGCCGCGGATGCCCATGTCTCATGTCTTGTGTCTTGAGACACGAGACATGAGACGCGAGAACATCATGTCCCATGTCTCATGTCTCATGTCTTCCGGCCTGGACCAGAGTCGGCCGCGGGCGGTCATGTCTCATGTCGCATGTCTCATGTCTTGTGTCTTGGGACACGAGACATGAGACATGGGGACGCCATGTCCCATGTCTCATGTCTCATGTCTTCCGGCCTTAGCCAGAGTCGGCCGCGGATGGCCATGTCCCATGTCTCATGTCTTGGGACACGAGACACAAGACATGAGACATGAGAACGCCATGTCCCGTGTCTCATGTCTCATGTCTTCCGGTCTGGACCAGAGTCGGCCGCGGATGGCCATGTCTCATGTCTCATGTCTTGGGACACGAGACATGAGACATGAGAACGCCGTGTCCCATGTCTCATGTCTTCCGGTCTGGACCAGAGTCGGCCGCGGATGGCCATGTCTCATGTCTCATGTCTTGGGACACGAGAC